ACACTCACACAAACACACACACACACACACACGCCCGCACACGCACGCACGCACGCACGCACGTGCGCGCACACACACACACACACACACACAATCACGCACGCACACACACACACACAATCACCCACACACAATCATACACACACCGCCCCATGCAGTTACCACACATCATTCAACCCGCCCCCCAAAGCCGGCTTCAACTGCTGGGGCGGACGCGCCTTCAGCAACAGCAGCTACTGCGACTTCAACACGCGTGAGCGCACAGAACAGCGACCGTTCCTCTTCCACTGCCTGTTCCCTGCAAGCGGCAGCAAACAGTGACTGCCCATGGGCGCAGAGGGCTCCCTCCTTTCCTGACAATAAATATCTCCCAATCTCCGCACTGCGGCTCAACGCACTGCGCCTTGCAAGCAAGGCTGACCCCCTCTCCCTTCTCAAACTTGCGTCCCGCGCAGAGAGATGCGTCGCCAACTCCCCGAAGTGTGGCAGGGTGGGCGCCCCTTGTTGCGTCCAGGACGGCGGCGCCACGACCACGTACGCCTGCAACGGCTACCACGCGGCCGGCTACTACTGCAGCCAGACCAGCAGGGCGAAGCCGGTCAGCACGTGCACCAAGTGCCCCGCGGACTGGCGGCAGCGGTTCAAGGCGGACGGCTGGGAGGCGTGGCAGTGCGCGGGGCGCCGGTGACGCGCGGGTGCGTGGGCCGGCTTGTTACAAACGCAGGAATGTTCAAGGGATCCCGTGCACCCAACGACACTTTTTTTACCGTAGTTGAGTAGTCCCCAGAACGCCATGAGTTGCTTTATGCTTTTCGCGTCACCTTTGCACTCCGTTACCCCACATGAATGACCCACCAGCACACACACACCTGCACCAGTAAACGCCGTTATCTTGGCTTTTGCGCCACACCAACCTGCCAGGCGCACGCGTGCGTTTGCTCATCCCTCCCGTCTGCCCCCGCACGTTTACCCATCGTTGCCTGGACCGCTCCCCGCTGCAACGCCGTCACGAATCGCGCCTGTCACTGCTGTTCGTCCTGATGCATCGCCATTGGCATGCACATGAGCATGGTGGTGCAAATCTGGGGTTGCAACCGGCTGATGGCAGCACCCCAGTGCACCTGCGAGCACACCCCCAAGGGTACGTGTGCTATGGCACCATCATTGTCGCAGGGCGGCTGTGACTGCACAATGTAAAGCTAGACTCAGGCTCAACACCCTGCACGTCGGCCGGGCGCCGGCGCTGGCTCTTGCGGTTGAGCCGCTGCGACCAGGGGCGGGGTCGGGCGGAGACGCAGGCGCACCTGCCTGGCCCGGGGGCATTCATTCATCCCAGGAGCCACGAGGCGCGCCAAACCTGCCTGCGGGATGGACGCGGAATCCACCATCGCACCCGAGGCACGGCCAGCCTGCTCGGCGGCCCATATTAGCAGCGCTTTGACCATAACGCGCTACATGTGAGCTGGCACGCAACCCGCTTCTGTTGGCCTGAAACCGCAGTGTCTCAGCTGGTTGACCCCAGGAGCCGCCTGCGGCGTGGCCGCGCTTTTGCCCCAGCAGCCAACCTGACCCGCCTTGAACCGCTCGCCTGCTGGTCGGCACCGCGCAGAGCAGGCGGCCCACATGATTGTGTCACATGTACCCATTGATTGGCTGCATGGTAAGCCTTTCGGCATGCCACCGCAACGTGCTGTACCCTCCACCGCAGACTCATCAGTACGTACCGTACACTGAGATCGGGCGGCGGCCATGCGCATGACTCAGGGGCGCATTACAGTACACCGAGCCTCTTCGGACAATCGGGTTGTGCAGTATGCGCTCGTGAGCAATTTGCAAGCCACGTTGTCACCGGGCTGCGCCCGGGCCTCAGGCCAAGTCCCTGGTAGCTGCAGAAAGTCTGCCGCCTCTCAGTTATTGTTCTATAAAGATCTAAAGTACAAGATGGCGGCGTCAGGTACCACAGGCTTGCGGCCACGCGCATCGCTGCCTGGGTCGTCGATGGCCACGCCGCTGGTCCTAGGACGCCCACCTAAGCGGAATGCTCGTCGAATCCGGGTACAAATGACATGCGTGGCACGCTACAGTCTCGTGCTGGCGTTGCTGATCGCGACTGCCTCAGGTGCGCTGTGCACATTGTGCAGGAGCGGGACAAACATGCTGCTGAACAGGGCAGCACATCCGTGTGATGGGTGATGGTTACTGTTGCTGTGATCTGGCATCTTCGTGATGATTTTTCACTGTTTGCAGTCACGTGTTACCACAGGGCGTGCCTGCGGGTGGGCCGCCCATCGGCAGCCACACTGTCAAGTGCAACCTTGAGTACCTCCGCCTGGCCCGGCCCCTCGCAACCACATCAACACGCCGGTGACTGCCAGGTCAGGGCCTTCTGCCGCCGAGCGCTGAGCCGCTGGGGGCCGACAGCACCCCCAAGAGCGTCCTGGCTGACGCCTACGCCGCCGCCGCCAAGCAGCAGAGCGAGGCCAAAGCGTGGCAGCGGGCCGTCAAGGCGACCCCTAAGACGGCTTGCGTGGGTACATCGAAGGGCTCACTTTGCTCCTCCACAGTTGCGGAAGGTGTGCTGGGCCCCCTAGACCCTGCCTGCTGCTGGCTGGTGCTGAGGACCTGTGCGTGCAAGTATGCTTGAAAAGGAGCGAGAGAGAGACCGAGAGTACGCAGGCTGTTGTGTCCGCGTGAATCAAGGAAGAGGGGCCTGGCTTGCGGGGACCGAGGCCGCTGCGCTGCCCCCCCCCCACACCAATGCTTGTGAATAAGTTTTTTGAGCTTCCCTTGGTTTCCTTTGAGTGTGGCTCTTGAGTATGGCACAAATTTGCCAGCTGCCGCCCAATCAGCTACACATCTGCCCCCTTGATTGGCCATGATTGCTGCACCTTTGCCGTCTGCCCACCCTACCGTCAACGCAGACAATGAGAAGCTCGCCACGCTGATGTTTGCGACGTCGCCCGCCGCCTACAGCGCCCTGGATCCGCGCGACGTCGGCCCCTTCCGCGTCATCCCTGCCCCTAGGGCCCAGGGCAGGTGCTCCACCTGCACCGCCTTTGTCGCCATCGCGGCTGCAGAGGTGCGGGAGTACCCTGCATGCCGCTGTGCTAGCCGCTGCACATAGTCGTGCCGGTGCTGGCTGCCTTTGCGCGCCGTGAGCGCGCAACGGGTGGATTTTTCAGCGGTTTGTACCCACAGTATGTGCCTTGCCATGCAGGTTGCGCGTGCCAGCTTTGAAACCCATCTAGCAGAAGGCCCCAAAAAACTCCTGACCTGCTTTTCGCACACCGCTCTCTGAGCGTGTCGCCTGCAGGCCGCAATTGCCAGCGTTCTAGGCCAGCCGGTGACAAACGTGGGCTCCCTGTCAGTGCAGGACCTTTACTACTGCGGGGAGGAGCGCACCTCCTGCCTCACTGGGGCGGCCTTGAGGGCTACGCTCACGCAGCTTGAGAAACGGCAGCTGGTGCTCGAGGACTGCCTACCCTACCAGCAGCCCAACCTAAGGGACGCTGCGATTCGGGACAAGCTCTGCGCCAAATCTTGCCAGAACACCAGCCCTCTGGCATCCAAGGGGTCGTTCACATACGTGCCCATAGCGCACGTGTGGGAGGCGCAGCAGCACATCAGGCGGTTTGGGGCCGTGGTGAGCAGGCGTGATCGTGCACATGTGTTAGAGTGTTTGTCTCAAAAAATGTGTGTGTGTGTGCATGTGTGTGTGCATATATATATGTGTGTGTGTGTGTGTGTGTGTGTGTGTGTGTGTGCGCGCGCGCACGTGCGCGTGTGTGTGTGCGTGTGTGCGTGCGTGCGTGCGTGTCTGCGTGTGTGTGTGTGTGTGTGGGGGGGGGGTAAGGGTGTGTGTGTGTGTAAGTGTGTGTGTGTGTGTGTGTGTGTGTGTGTGTG